GTTCTCCGATGCCAGAATAATCTGATACGTTGAGATAATGGTGTAAAGAAGTAAATAGTACAAGTTCGAAAGAGAAATGATATACTTTCCAAATTCAAGAGCAACGTAAATTCATAAATGAGAACGGATGTATATATATATATATACCCAATAGAGAATGAGAATATTCTCGAAAAACAAAAGATCGGAGGAGAAGAGAGAAATTCTGACGTCACTGTACCTTTAAAAAGTATTTATATGAGATAAGGAAAGAGAAAGAAAAGTATGAGATGACAAATGTAGTTGTTTATGACCTTAATGACCTTACATATTTAATCGTTTAATGTGAACTAAATACTTTTTCTCTACTGATAAATAGGTGGGTCAAAAATGACCTATCCGTCCTCAAAAGGTTAACTATAGTTTAGCAGTTAGCTTGCAGTAGCTTAAAGTTTTCTTCTATAAAGCTTTCCCCCGAAGCGAAACTCTGTACAAGGTTTTTTCAAAACACTTTCGGGAAATCAAACCCAAAATTTTTTGTCAAAGCTTATGCAATGGCGATGAACATTCGCTACAGCGGATGAGACGAATATTCTCTGCAAAATGTCAATTTTTGTTCTTTGGTAAATACAATTTATTTTGGAGAGAGTGCTATCATTTACGTCTAACGTAAGCACTCGGCAACCTTTTCTTACGATTTGCTTACTTCTCTCACTGAATTCTATCAGGTTTCTATGTAGTAAAGTATGCGACTCTACCCACATATGGTGAATTTAGTTGATTATCAAACGGGTTTTCATTTCACCAAAGTTTGTCAAATTCTGTGTAAGTCGCCCAAACGCTAAGGTTTCCATACTTTTTTATGGATTCTGTCACTATATCATTTAACAATATCTCTATTTTTTACTCAAAACCCGCCTGGAGTGAATAACAAATGGTACTGTGTTTGATGCAAAAAAGTGTGCATTCAGTAATTTTTTTCACTCAACACTCAATTCCTTTAGAAAGTTCCCTATAGAAACTCCTTTGCTATCAATTATTCTAATTTCTTTTATGTTCCTCTTCAGAATTCAGATTTTTACTTCAGTGTTTTCGTGTAGGATACAAACCAAGTTTTTCCACTTTGCCGTTTATTCAACTTAGATTGGTGATAAGCCCTAAATTCGGAACTTGATAATCTAGATTCTTAAAAAGGTCTGTCTAGACATTTTTTTGTGATTGCACTTAGGTGAGAGAACGAAAGTGGGTTTTTGCTTAATTAGACTTTGAGTCAGTTTCAGTTCAGTCAAATAAGAAGACATTAATTTAGGGCTTTTCTTGTAAATTCTATAACTTTGCAAAGAAAGGCCTTGTAGAGCTGGGAGATATCTCATTTTAATCAGAAATTTGCTGTCTACAATCATGCCTCATTAAAAAGAGGTTTTAGTTATTCTTTAGAGTTTCAGAGAAACTGGTTTTCCAGAAAACCGGGTCTTCAAAAGTCATGGGCACGAATCTTTCAAGGTATTTACTACCTAGGTCTATCGATCCATGTACAAATCATTGGATTCGAAAGGAGACATCTCAAAAGGTTGCCTCATAAATGTCACTTTAAGTGACGAAGTGCCACTCAAAGTGAGAGCCACTACAGAGTGTGTTCAGCAAAATTGGAGGTTATTTTCCCCTTGATATCTATCCTTCCTTGCAACGGATTTATCAGTTTAAAGTGTCAAAAGCATATATCGACGAACACTGTAGCTCAGAAGATCTTGAGAAGGAACAATATGTATTGCATATATCTGATATGCAACAGAGAAACAAAAATTGAATCTGATGCTTGGATGAAGCAGCACTACAAAATTATTGAAGAAGATGAAGAGAACTTAAATTCAGAAATGATTCAACATCACATAAAAATGAAACGTCAATGCATGCTTAAACCAGAAAATGCATTCATTAGTGTGTACACCTATGTAAATGTTATTGCAGAATTTGGCTCATGAAGTAATTTATAGATAATAATTCAAAAAGTAATCAGCATATATAAAATACTGTTCACAAGGTTTCACACATCTTGACTCTCACTCACGTCACTTATTTCGCGTCTTTTTCACTTCTTGTATACTGGTGGGCAAAACTAATAACATATTTGAGAGGCTAGAAAAAATTGCGTTGAACGGTTGGTTGATTCAGCAATTGTTTTTCGTATTATTTTTTCTATGAGAAAAGAATGAGCAAAAATGCTGAAGCACAGAGACTTTTTTGCTATCTTTACAAACGTAGGCAAAAGTGTTTGACTTCTTCTCATTCTCTATTATGAATGAAAAAACTCCAAAAGAAATTAAATACTTTTACATGAACCAAGTTCCAGCACCTTTACTACATCATAATTTCGAGCGACATAAAATCCAAGCCCATCTAACTCTGATCTGGTGCAACTATGACTGCGACTTCAGTGAAACTGCTTTATAATCTGTAATGCTATACATCTGTTTGTGTTTTTGAAGTAACTCAACTGATTATCCTTCAGTTAGCACACCGTCGTATACCATCGGTTGGGGTAATTTAAAATTTAAAGGTGAGAGTGGAATATCACTGCAGCAAGTTATACCGCCAATTTTCAATACTCAACGATGCTAAGAAGTTGTAACGAACCACACAAAAACACAGTTGTGCTCCCGTGGTACAAGAGGTGAAGATACGTGTCAAGGTGAGAAATGAATTGTGCTTTAACCCAAAAATTTTCTTGTTCCGAACTCGGCCTAAAAGTTTGGAGTATGACTCAAGAGATTGCGATATTTTGCTTACTCCCGAGTCATGAGATTTTGACTGAGAAATCAATCGAAATGTTGCAATGTTCCCACTGTATTCGATTTTTAGGTCAAAATTTATCAATAATTTACTGAGTAACGACATAAAAAGACAGAGTCTCTGCTACTCAGGCATACTCTCCCTCGTGTAAGAGTATTTTACTCGTTGTAGGAGTATGATCAATGTTACTTTTGTTTTTGGAATTACCGGTCCATAACCCACATACAAACTGTCGGAATCATCGATTGATGTTAGTTGTAGGTTGAAAGAGCATAAAAAAAGCTAAAACGGGAGAAGTGAACATTTTTTCATTAAAGTCGCCAGGCTATAAAAGGCTGGGAAGGCTAGACATTTGAAATAAGAAAAAAATTCAAAAGTTCGTGCTTCTTTTTGGGCCGAGTTTGGAGACAGGAAGTAGTACCTAACTAAGCCAAATTTTAGGCGATAGTGGTCATCCTCTGATAATTAAACGTCGAAATGGAAAGGAATTTGTATTTGAAATTGTTGGTATCGTCTCGTTTGGTATGAAAGGATGTGCTAAGAAGAATAAACCGGGAATTATACACGTGTAACTGGATATCATAAATGGATACAAAGTATTATACATGAATCCTAATAACTTCTTCTGAACAGTTTCTTTAGTTGAAGAAAACGAATTGTACGTTTCAGAAAAATACCGTGAAGTGACTAACAAATCGTTTTATATTTTATTCCATTCTTCTACCACAAGTACGTCTGCTTGTCGTGGGAAAACTTTGGTTGTCAGCACACGATGCACTTCTTCATCTCTATCTGTGCAGCAATCAGCTAATATGGTTATACGGTAATCTTTATCAGCAGCTTCACGCATAGTTGATAAAACAACGCCACTTGTACTACAACCAGTGAGTATGATATGCTGGATTCCCTGCGAACGTAAAATTACTTCAAGATCACTGCCGGTAAATGCACTAACACGACGCTTGGTAACGATGATCTCATCGGCCAATGGTGCCACATCCGGATGGATTTTCATCCAATCTTCTACATATTCCGCAGTCCATCGCTCCCTGCCAAGTGCAGCAAAGCTTTTGTTATTCATATTTATTTCCGGCGCACCTGGTCTACAGCCAACTATTACATATATAACAGGGATTTTCTTCTTGCGGGCATTTTCTATAGCCTTAGCTACATTTCCGATAAACATTACGACATTCGGAAGTTTATCAATCATTGCAGCCTGCATATCCATTACCAAAAGGGCGGTGTTTTGTTCCATTTTTTTAATTGTCTATTTTTTATAATCGTTAATTGACTAAATTTTTTTTTGCCGCTGCTATATCTTATATTTCTTCAAGCTGCTTCATATTCTTTTTATTAGGTTTATGGCCACCTTAAAAAAAAAAAATGCTTCATCATTTTTTTTGCACGTCACAGTGATGAATGCAGACAGAAGAGAGAAAAGAAAAGAAACATTATTATCGATGTTCTATACTCCAGAGTAATAGAAACAAATTTACTCTTCTCCTCGTGCTCGTGTATACAACGTATCGCACTGTGTTTGATGCAAAAAAAGTGTACATTCAGTAATTCTTTTCACTCAACACTCAATTCCTTTAGAAAGTTCCCTATAGAAACTCCTTTGCTATCAATTATTCTAATTTCTTTTATGTTCCTCTTCAGAGTTCAGATTTTTAGTGTTTTAGTGTGATTTCAGCGTTTTCGTGTAGGATACAAATCGAGTTTTTCCAGTTTGTCGTTTATTCAACTTAGATTGGTGATAAGCGCTAAATTCGGAACTTGATAATCCAGATTCTTAAAAAAGTCTGTCTGGACATTTTTTTGTGATTGCACTTAGGTGAGAGAACGAAAGTAGGTTTTTGCTTAATTCGACTTTTTTTTTTGCAGAAGTCTGCTCAAATTTCAAAATTTCCCTTCGTGAGTCGCTGTATAATTTGATACTGAACAATTTGTTTCTACAGTTTTCTTCTATAAAGCTTTCCCGAAGCGAAACTCTGTACAAGGTTTTTTCAAAACACTTTTTGTAGCAAAAACTGGTTCGGGAAATCAAACCCAAAATTTTTTGTCAAAGCTTATGCGATGGCGATGAACATCCGCTGCAGCGGATGAGACGAATATTCTCTGCAAAATGTCAATTTTTGTTCTTTGGTAAATACAATACGGAAAGTTCCGTATAGAAACTCCTTTGCTGTCAATTATTCTAATTATTTTTATGTTCTTCTTCAGAATTCAGATTTTTACTTCAGCGTTTTCGTGTAGGATACAAATCGAGTTTTTCCAGTTTGCCGCTTATTCAACTTAGATTGGTGATAAGCCCTAAATTCGGAACTTGATAATCCAGATTCTTAAAAAGTCTGTCTGGACATTTTTTTTGTGATTGCACTTAGGTGAGAGAACGAAAGTGGGTTTTTGCTTAATTAGACTTTTTAAGCAATAACGATTACTTAAAATATAGGACCAACCAGCTACTTTGGATAAATCAACATTCCAATGAAGGCGTTCATCATCAATAATACGATTCAATCGTGAGTTAACGTTATAGGCTAAGCGTAGTTCGTTTTCATGTAATTTTTCAAGAATAATCATAAGAATTTCATCCGGTAAATCTTCTAGTCTTAACACCGAAACGATGTTTATTGATACATCTAAAAATAATTGAAAAGGCGACAGATAAACACTGAACTTCTTCCAGGAATTTTAGCAGCGTGTTCATATTTTGTTTTACGCTGAATTTATAATAACTTAGATTTTTCTGTTATTTTATTTTGAATATTCTAATAAAAGACAGCAAAACTCAACTAAAATGCTATTATCCAGTTTTTGTTTCATTGCTAACTTCTAACTCTTTTTCAAGTTAAAGTAGGAACGCCAACAGCTCTTCATCACTAATATAGAATGGATCAACACTTGAACCTAGGACAAAATCTTTCCCATCTTTCTTTATAGTTGCTGATTCCGTTTGAATTTCGTTTACTTCACTACCGCTTGTTTTGGCAAGTCAAATAATAAGTTCCCAGGTCAAATGATAAATGCAATAGCGCTCACTTTCAGCCATAAATGAAATGAACAAAATTTCTTGGATTAAGATAGTGTTACAATTGGACAATAATTCTTATCTATACAAAGGAAAAGACGAGTATTATGGCGTTTGTCATCAAAAAAGACCTCGAATCGTTAACAATTGTTACACATTTTTGACTACAACTGAGCTGCATCACGAGCAGAAATATGTCGTTCGAAGTCGTCAATATCCCTTTCCATCTAAGCTGAACTGTACATGTGTCAAAAGTAGAAACTTCAACAAAATAGTTAATCTGCTAATTGTAGTACTACTCATTCTAACTCATTTCCCGATACATTCCTAGGGTTTCTTCTTTATTCAGAATAGCAATCTCATCTCAAACTAAAATCCAAATCTTCTTTCGATCACCTAAAAGTTTAAGTTTCAAATTTCGACGTTGCCATCTGAACGGAAATATCGAAGGTTCTGCAGGATAGCATGTAGCATAAGCAGATCATTACCACACACACACACACAGAAATTATCTTTCTTCAATTATCAACTTAATGTCAGAAAGTATATTAAGTGGTCAGGTTATTTTCTTTCTGTGTTTGATTACGGATGCAATAGGGCTTTATTTTTTATTGAAAAAGCAACAGACAATACAGAAAAAAAGCCAAAATAAAAGGTTAGTCATTGTAGCCACGCTAATTGTCTTCGCTAATTGTTGATTATGCATCTTCGTAGATAGTTTTTACCCAACGAGCAATTGTAGAGCATGACGGATTGACAGGTACCATGGCAGCTATCTTTTGGACCGATCTCTAAACGGTTGCCGTTTTTCTTCACTTAAGCTGGTCCAATTTTTATCACATAATTAGAACGCTTCCTTCCATGAAAGATCTATTCCTGTCAGCATTTTTATTAATTCTCGATATTCAAGAACATAGAAAAACATTGGAGAACGACGATGGTTGCACATTAGAATAACGTTGATTAAATAATTCTAAAGATGAAATTTGAAAAGTATGGAAAAGTTCCACTTGAACAAAAACATCAGTTTTTTACTCTACAAAGCTATATTTTGGGAATATTTGTAGAAACACACGTAAAGAGGAATTTATTGATGAAGAGTCGCATTTTACGATTTTTGACTAGAAAAGCCACCTTCTGTACTTGTAATTTCCCAAACTCTCCTAACACTGGTTTTGGAATTAAATTTTAAACTCTTAAAATTTAAGTTCTTTTAAAATTCGGCTATCTTAGTACAGATTAGCTATAAAATTTTCGAACAAAAACCATCAGAAGGAGCGCAAAATATTAAACAAATCTTTCGATTTGAGAGAGTTTCAGTCATCTCAAAGACAATATAATCCCTTAAGACTTGTCTGGAAATAGTCGAAACTACCTTGACGATGCATAGGCTCCTTTCTAAGGTAGTTGAATGAAAAATACGTAGACTATAACGATCATTCGCTATGCAAAATTCAGTTGAGGAGTCGCTGCTTTCTGGATTTGTTTTAGTCAAATCCTCTGTAAACTAGCTCTACAATATGACTGAGCGATTTGCGAAAAATTTCTTTAATCCGACGCTACTTCTAAAACACGATGGATACTTTCTTCGGTTAAGCTCTTCGAATGTTTTCTCTTTCTCCTCTTAAATGAAATTTCTGCTTTGAATGATGCACAAAAATCGACCTTAATCTCACAAGAAGGGATCTAACTATGATGCACAAATAACGAACCAGCCCATTATTTAAAGAATGGAAGGAAAAACGTTGTACATGTGTCACGTGGTCAAAACTTCTTCTGCACAAAAAAACTGATTTTTTGTTTCCCAAGTGGCTAAGTAAGCGATAAAAGTTAGTTTATTTTTAAAATTTTTGTTTAAGTTAAATAGAAAACTCTAATGATCATAAAACCATCGCTGAAGACGCTTCTGAAAACGATGGAAACTACCTTAAGGATGATTAAGTTCCTTTCGAAAACAAATGGACCATTTCATCTAATGCTTGAGCTTTCAAATTGTTACTGACATTTTTGTCAATTACTAACATTTTTGTCATTCAACTACCTTAGAAAGGAGCTTATGCATCGTCAAGGTAGTTTCGACTATTCCCAGAAAAGTCTTGCGGGATTATATTGTCTTCGAGATGACTGAAACTCTCTCAAATCGAAAGATTTGTTTAATATTTTGCGTTCTTTCTGATGATTTTTGTTCGAAAGATTTATAGCTAATCTGTACTAAGATAGCCGAATTTTAAAAAAACTTAAAGGACACGTGGCAGAATGTAAGGTTTCGTGCCCAAAAAATTACGCAATGAGTCATGCATATTCGGAATCAGCGTCGAATTCTGAGTAAAACTGTATTCTCAGATCGTTCAAATTCGCGAAAAAATTTTTTTCGAAAAATTTTAGGGCA